TGGGTATGTATACAACTATCTGGTTTTGTAGACTAAGGGGTGATCTCATATTCAAACATGTGGGTCAAACTACGAAAACCCAAACCGCCTTAAACTGCCCGAACAAAACCCAGTTTTGCGGTTTGGAAGTTTAAACAATAGACAGTGCGGCTCGACCGCACGAATTTGCATAAAAACTGCGGTTCGAACCGATCTCATTCACACCTCATTCAAGCTGTTTATTTTTAGGATTGACAGAGTTTACATTTCTTTTTGAAGACTAGATAGTTGTCTCTAAAATGTGTTGATTTATTGGTGTACAGTAGTCATTTTACCGTGTGTCTTGCCTAAAACAACACTCTTTCATATATCGGTGAACAGCGTGCTGAATAAATTGTTTTGTTTTGATAAACTGTTATGCTCGAGTCGCATATTGAGCAGAGGACGTGAATCAGACTTTTCATTGGGCTGGACAATTGATATGTGTCTCTGACAGCTAATAAGTATCAAAAGACGAACATTTGTTGATACAAAGTTGCACTTGAGACTTACGCTACTGTGTTCAAGCCTTTACTACTGTTGCGTTCAATTTTCAAACAGTTCTTTCAGGAGTGCGGCATCGCAAAATCCGGAAAACAAATGCAGCGTACGCCATGAAAATTTATTTCGATTTGCTGCAGTTTTTCTTATTCAATTGCCAGTGACACAAAGTATCAAAACAGAAAATTAAATTAAATGGACTCGCGCTGATTATTTAAGGCTATTCATCTGCAGACGAGACTGCTTATAAAAAACGAACCCTGACCTCTGAAAATACCTTATTCATAGAGTGCCTTGTACCCAAGACCGTCGCCCAAGGCGACACAATGCACGTTGCGATATCGCAATCGATGCATGCTGGGTGACAAAGAGAAATTCTGATTGAGGTAACCAAGATGGCTGCGTTGAGTGCTTGATTTTCTGCGGTGATCAAAAACAACACCTCGCTGCCTACATGTACTTCGCCCACAGTCCGTCAAGGCACTGTGCTTCGATGTACTTTCTAAAATAATCGTTTATTTTTAATTAACCAGGGGTTCGAAATGTGTGCATTTTATCACAGAAAAGTAAGATATCGGCAGCGGTAAATACCCGTAATTTCCCCGCAATGCCGTCAGCTGACAATGTTACGGTGGTCGTAGCACCGGAGTCGTAGCATTAGCCCCGACTTTAGTTTTGACACAGTGATAGAGGGACTGTGGTTTTCAGATGCCTTCATAGAAAACAATGTTGCCATTATCGATTTAATACTTTCATCATATTTTGATAACTCGCAGTCTCACAGACTTTACAAACTTAACCAAAAAATGTGTTATATGAACATGGGCACAAAACTGACTGTACTTGTTGCGAACAAAATGTACCAGTTCGCTCCATGGATAAACATATTTTACTGACTATGCCAAATATATATATATATAACGTAAGTAATTTATCCTAAAAAGCTGTTCATTAAAATTCTATTGCATTTTTTCCCTGTTCTGTTTACATCTGTAATTAATTCCAGATAAATTGAATAACCATTGTATTGACTTGTACCAAAATGTAAGTTGTGAGAAACTGATTATTATTACCAGTTACAGAAATAAATAAATATAATTTTCATCACACTTATAAATGACATGATGTTAAATGGGTTTGTGAAACAAATGCAAGTTTGTTTTTTTACTAGCAATTTACATGTATAAGACCAATCTGATGTAGTGTATGGGCTTTAATTATTTTGGCTATAAACTTATTTTAATTTTATTTTTTCTTACTTTTGTTATTAATGCCTTTT